CTTTGACCCACCCCCGACCCACAAGCCAGCCAGAGAGGCAAGTAGGAGGATGTCCTCTGGCTTTACCCCTGCCACCACTTGATGGGGACAACCTTCCCCTCTGGGCTTCTGCATCCCTAGCTTTGAACGGAGTGGAATGAGATGATTTCCAAGGGCTTATCCAGCTCTTCTGTTAAGCTAGATCAGCTCAGTTCCTAGACACAGTGAAAACACCACACAGAAATATCACAGACTAACACACAGACTTCTCAGGATGGTCAGAAATTGAAATTCAAGCCATTGGACTCTCCGGCCTCCACCACCGCCCCCCATCCGACCCCAGAGAAAGCAAACCCTCCTCTGAATTATCACATCCCAGGCAATTGTGTTCACTCCCTGCCCAAGACCAGCCACAGCTGTCAGTTAGGGGGCTACTGCCTAACCTGAGTGGCTTCCCAACAAAATCTAGCTGTTCTGAATTTTTGCATTTATTTTGTTCATTACAAAGAAGCTTTTCACGACAAAAACACAACCAAGTTATAGAAATCTTAGTTTAGAAAAAAGAATTGTAATTTGTCCTGAAATCCTACAACTTGACACAAGCAGTGTTAAGTTTCCTCCTAGACTGTTCTGTCACTGTTGATCTGCCAAGAACCCTGTGAATGCCAAAGAGCATCTTGTTCCTGGACCATTTTCCCCTGGTCCCACTGGCCAAAAAAACAAGTACTTCTGCCATGTCTGTTTCTAAGAGCTCTGGTCTGGGAATATTTTCCTGGAGTGTTCTCCTGAAACAACAGAAATGAAACCACAACTAGGGTTCACACGCTTTCCACGCTGCGTGCTAAACACCTAAGTGGCTTTCTTGTTCTCGTCACCCCCTTGCTCCTGTGAGGGGCAGGGAAGGAGCCTGGTCAGAAGTCCTGTATTCAAGCCCCTGGCCACCCTGATCAGCCAAGGCCTGGCTCACCCCTTCGTTTTTCTGGGCCTTGCTTTCCTCATCTGTAAAGTGGGAATGAGAAGACAATACAAATGTCCTAAAATCCAGTAGGATTAACTGAAATAATGTGCAGAGAAGACGGAAATATGTTTGACCAGTAGATGTGTGTTCAGAGGAAGAAAACAACCTGTACACAGACATGGTATGCTGACTCTCCATAGGTGGGTCCACACCTGGTGCCACTAGGATTCTTCCAGAGAACTTGAGGGCCATGACCACCTCTATTCAATCACTACTGGATATCAAATTCAAACTGCCCAGGTCTTGTTCTGAGCACTGGAGATATAAATGACTCAGATCTCATCCCCATCACCAAGGGTCTCACATCTGGTGGGGAAGACTCAGGAACAGCAGACTCCAGCTAAGGTGTGTCTTCCAGGGACATGACCAAGGGGCAGCAGGAGCCCAGAATGAGGGCTTCTGGTTGTTTCTCCCTGTCAAGTCTTAGGCTCATTCAAGCCTGATTGGCCGGGGGCAGACAGAGAAGGCAGTACTCCTGCCTGCAGACCAGCCCCAGGGAAGAGCTGTGTCACCTCTGGTGAGGCCCAGAGCTCTGGGACTGCAAGTGTCACAGGTGAGGAAAATCCTCCTCCCCAACCCCGGAAGACACTGTGATTTGCCCAAGGTCTCTCGGTAGAAGACCACTGGGAGCAGAGCCTGGAACAGACCAGGTCAGACCCTCTCTGCAGAACCTGAGGGCAGTTTTCAGAAAAGAGGGAGTCCTGGGGTTTTATCCCACCTCTGCTGTGTGACCCTGCACAGGACCCTGGCCCCTCTCTGGGCCTCAGCCCACGTGCACAGCAAGGGAAAGGCCATTTCAGTTTTGTCATTAGAGACCCAACTCAGGCAGGTAGCCCGAGTACCTGAGGACTGAAAACCTGGAAGATATGCAGACCTATAAGGCAGAGGATACTGAAGGCCTAGAGAGGCTTTTAGCCCCAGGACTCTCTCCTCACCCTCTCTGCTACCAACTTCAAAGGCTAGGTGGAGGGGCAGCCTTCCCAGCTGCCTCTCCTCTGAGCTCCCCCTGCTCATTCCTTACCAGCCCCTCCTCCTCCACACCCACCCCTTCCCTGGAATGCCTTGGCCTTTCACTGGCCCTTCCAGACTTGCTCCTCCAGGAAGCATTCCTTCCAAGTAAGCTGAGCTATGCATGTGCTCCCTGAGGAGAAGCAACTGTGCCCCAAGGGTGTGCTGTCAGATTGGCCGATGAAGAAGGGAACGCTTACAGGGAGCAGAGGGGTTGGGGTCCCCAGAGCTGAGTCCATCATTTCACAACACCTTTTTCTAGATTACCTAAGCAGCCTTCACAGCTGTCTTCACCGCCGTGAGGTCCCTGCCCCAAGTGGTGTAGACGGTAACAGCCTCCTAGAATTCAAATTCAGCTCACTCTTGTGGCTCTGCATGCCCCACACTTCAAGGGACACTGACCCTCCATAATCAGGCCTAGGTGACCAGAGCCCAGAATGGAAAAAAGAGGACACAGGGAGGGCTTTAGGGTTAGACACAAGGCTAGAATCACCCAGTAATGGTGGCGGCAGGGCACACACAGCTTGGGTACAGAGGATGGGGGAGGGTGCCCTGCATAACAGGGAGCCCAGATTCTCAAAATGTTATTTTGTTGTTTAAAAAAAAAAAAAAAAAAAAAAAAGTCATGATCCAGCTGCGCCAGCTGTGTGATCTCACAATACTTCATCTGAGTGTCAATTTTATCACCTATGAGAGAAAGAAACTACCTCCCAAGGAGCTTGAGAGAAACAAATAAGACACTGCCTGAAAAGTAGAGCGCTGTGCCTGACACATAAGCATGGAGTACTGGTGGCTACTGGAAGCACTGGCTTTTCCAGCCATGAATCCCAGGAGACTGGAGAATGGCTCAGCAGACACTAAGCAGCTGGTGACTCCTGGTGGCCGCTGGGAGCCAGGACAAGGGGGTGGGGCTGGAAAATACTGGACTCCTAGCATCTTCAGCTGTTAGACTTGCTGTGTTAGCCATTTAATAGACATTTCCCAAGGCTCACTCTGGCCTGACCTAATGTCAGAAATTACTCTGTTCCCATCCTGGCCTCTTCTAAGAGCTCCCTGACTGAAAATGGAGGGAAGGAGACACAAAGAGGAACATAAGGAGAGAGGAGGCCCCTAGCCAGCCTGGTAAGTGAGGAAAGGCTCTCAGAGATTATCCCAAAGGACACATTTGAATTGGGGGCTGGGAGGGAAGAACATTCTGGACAGAGAGAAAAATCAATGTGCAAAGCACATTCAGAGTAGCAAGGAAATGAAAATGCAGCTGAGGTCAGCGGGCTCACTCCTAAGGGGTTTGGATTTAATGCCAAGCAGCTTCTCTGCAGGCAGCCTGGGAACTTGAAAGGGTTGTATCTGTGACCAGGATACCTTGGAAAGTCACTCTGGCCACGACGAGGGGCCTGGCTGGAGACACAGCAAGACTAGAGGGGAGCCTGCGTTGCAGCTAGGTTAAAGTTAGACACTCCAGCCCCTGGTGCTGGGGGATGTGGGGCAGGAGTGGAAGAGACACTTAGGGGAGATGATGTCTGGGAGGCAGGTAGGTATGTCACCTAGAGCCCAGGGGACAGCTGGGCCAAGAGCAGTGACCGGAGAGTCACCAGAGTGTAGACTAGGTATTTAATCAACACGTCCTCTTTGGCCTGTGCCAAGAGCTTCACAGATGCTAACACCTGGAGTCCATACAGTACGTCCTGGAGTCCATACAGTATGTTCTGAGGTGAGAACTTTTTTTTTTTTTTTTTTTGAGAGAGAGAGAGAGAAAGAGAGTGTGAACAGGAACGGGGGAGGGGTAGAGAGGGAGGGAGAACGAATCTCAAGCTGACTCCTGAGCGCAGAGCCTGCTGCAGGGCTTCATCTCACAACACCGAGATCACAACCTGAGTGGAAACCAAGAGGCAGACACTTGGACTGCGCCACCCAGGCACCCTCTGAGGCGAGCACTACTATTTTCCCCTTTCACAGAGAAGGAAACTAAGGCACAAAGGTGTTAAGGAACCGGCTTAAAATCACCCTGCTACTGAACGGTGGGCTGTGACTCTGACACAGACAGCCTGGCTGTGGAGTTCAGGCTCTCGGTGGCCGACTGCTCATCCTGGGAATGGCTTCCAAACCCTGGAAAGGGCAATGACCCCCGGGGGGACTTTGGAAGGTCATAAAGAAGGACACTGAGAATTGCAGAGTAAAGCCTTTGAATCTCAGATAAGCAGCACTCCACAGTAAGGTCCTAGCACTCGGGGACAGAAGTCCCTTCTGTTGTCTTGTGACTGGCAGTGGCTGTCCTACTGATGACTCCTCCAAGCTCGAGGCTGACAGAGGGATGCCCAGGCTCTGCCCTGCTGGGTCTGCCTTATACTCCAGAGGCTTGTGGTGCCCCCATAAGTGAAGTCCCAACCCAGGCCCAGCCCACAGCTGTCCTCCCCAACACTCAGACCTGTACAGACTGTTTCCCACCCGTTCTGGGCTCTACCTCTGGATCGAGAATGTGCCTCCATCTAAAGACAGGCCTGGGGTACTAAGTACTTGATATCACTCTCCGGTTTGTTAGGACCCTTTCCACCAGAGCCCCTCTGGGCTGCTTCCCGTGCTCCCTTCCTTGGAACTCCCAACCACCCCCTCCACAGCCTCAGCCTGCTCCGGGTGCCTAAAGTAGGAGGGCCCAAGGTGTTGGCTTAGTCTCTGGACCAGCTTGGTCCAAGGGTGAAATTCACATGGCTCCAAGAGCCACTGCCCTTTGCTGCCTGTGAGCCTTTCTTCATGCTGTCTCCTCAGACATGAACAGCAGTGAGGCCAGACTGGCTCTGCCCCAGCTCTGTGCAGCAGGAGGAAGGGGGCCAAGCCCAGGTGTCCTTGAGCCACCAGCCCAAAGGCTTCTGCTACCTGAACGCTGCAAAGAGGCAAGCAGACACCAGTTTAAATGCAATTTTTTTTTCACTTATGTCAAAGAAAGTAAGAAATCAGAGATTTAAAACAAACAAAAAATACTGTAATTCCCCCCCACACACACAAACTTTTTTTTAAAAACAGGCCAGGTCCTGCCAGGCCTTATTCCCCATAAATGCCCCAAGGTCACCACCCCCCAACCCCCAGCCCCACTTGCTCTGGAGCCCTGTGAGCAGTGGGAAGCTGTCCTCTGGCTTTGGGCTTCAGACTCGAGCTCCAGCCCTGGCAGGAGGAGTCATGACACTAGCGCCAGAGCACGACCTTCCTGGCCTGGTCCACGCTCACCACATGGCTCCCCGAGGCACACCAGGCCACAGCGTTGATAGCAGTGCTGAGGAGAGGGAGGGACAGGCTTCAGGGAGGCATCAGAAGCCGGACCTGCAGCCTGGGCTCTGCCCCTCATTATGGGAACCAGGAATTTTGAGGCTCTCTCTGAGCCTGCTGCCTCACCTATAAAATGGGCTCACAGAGCTGTGCACACAGGAAAGAACCTTGTGAACTAAGAAGGGCTCAGGGGTGGGGGAGGATGTGGGGACAAGGGCTGGGGACTCCAGGGTCCCAAGCATGTCATTAATTCGGAACTGGCTGAGCAGCCCTGGGGCCGGGGGTCAAGGGGGAGGGGTGGGCACTGGCCCTGTGACTGATGTGGGGGGTGGGGGCCGTGCTCACCAGTGGGGTCCCCGCAGACTACCCTCCAGCTTGCCGGTGTCTACATCCCAGATGTAAAGGGCTCCATCCCAGGAACCTGCCAGCGCATAGCTTCTGTCCGGGCTGCAGTGGCCACAGCAGAGCAAGCAAGGGATGACCAGAGGTGAGGACACACACATGCAGACACAGACGTGTCCACGCAGACACAGACCTACACGGTTAGGTGGGGCACACTTAGGGACAGGCCCGCGCTCTCACAGACACACCTGAACACAGCTTTAGTCCAGTCAGAACCGCACCTGAAGCCATCAGCCCTGAGGACACAGAGAATCAGGGTCAGAATGAACATGGCCGCCGGTCCCTGCCCTCAGGAGCTTCAAGAGCTTCCTCCCTCCATCAAGAGCATGGGGCACCTCGACAGGCCCTGGTCCGGAAGGGCCTCCAGGATGGGTCCCCCATTGACAGGTCCAGAAGGGCCCTTAACAAAGGATGAGAAACCCAACAGCCCCATCCAAAGCCACAGTGTCAGGGAGCCCGGGGCAGGTACCTGAACACCTGGCGGATATTGCTGACACGAAGGTCAATGACCTTGAGTGTGTCATCTCGGGAACAGCTGAGCAGATGCAGCTGGTCATAGCTGAGGTTCAGGGAGGTGACCCGGCCCTGCACAGGGATGACCTGGGTGCAGCAGGGGACCCTGAGGATTGGGAACAGGTAGGGATGAGGAACAGCCCACCGAGGTCACTCCTGACAGGTTAACAAAGTCAAGGGGTGCCCCCAGGGCTGCCGCTGACTATCTCCCTTCTCCCACTGTGGCCAGCCCCTCCCAGAGGAACTTAGCCAGCCTCTGAGTGGAAGCTGGGGCCTCGAAACCCTTGGGTCACTAAAATAAGTGCTGGAGAGAAAACAATGAGAGCTGCCTTTCAGCGTGTGAGAGAGAGCAGAGGGTTTCCAACAGCAGTCACCGCAGACCTGGAAGGAGGACCCAGAGACAGGCTTGGCGCTGGCTCCAACACTGGCTTTTATAAATCACCCAAACCCAGTGCTGAGCTCTAAAGTGAAAGGACAACTAGAACTTTGTTTCCTTTGATTAAAAGGTAGTAACTACGTAGAAAAGGGGGCTCCTCCATTTTGGTTGATGAGGCCCAGGCCGAGTCCAGCAGCTGCACCAAGAGCCACTAAAAAGGTACCATAGGTCCCCAGAGGCAAAGGAGCCTTCAAGGGTCCACACTTAGCACTTCCCTGAGGTGCCTCTGTGGCTGCATGGCCAGAGAAAGGAAAGAAAACACAGGAAGCCTGTCCCCATGCCTCAACCACCCACAGCCCATGCTTGTCACCTGCTGTCCCAAAACCGGATCTTCTGGTCATAGTGGCCACTAATGATGACATGGTCCCCACACACCACATCATTACAGTAGGAAAGGACATTGATGGTCCTGGAGCCTGGGGACCAAGGAGCAGAACCCTAGCCTCAGAAAAAGGTTGTTGGAAGCCATCCCACAGGACATCCAGAGAAGCTGAGGTCCAAAAGCCCCAGAGGAGTACCTGTCCTCCCCAAACTAGAAGCCAGGTCCCGTTTCCCCGCCCAAAGCCTCAGGTCACCAAGAAACCAGGCAGAAAGCACGATGGGGGGCAGAGGAGAGGCCATGGGAGGTTTCACCCCAAATGCCTGTGAAGTTTAAAGCCATTCCCAGAGCACAGGCTGAGGTCTCCTTGACCCGGTTTGGGGGTGCCAGCAGGTAGGGAGGGGGAGGTAGGGGCTGGGCCTCACAGTAGGCACGGCCGAGGTCCCACTCCTTCACCGTCCGGTCTCGGCTCCCAGTCACCGCCTGGTGCCTCGTTAGCTTGAATTTAGCAGCCGTCACCTTGTCTGTGTGTCCAGACAGTGTCTCCTGTCCACCCCCATCCCACGTATGGATCAAGGACATGGCCAAGACCCCCTTGGGCCCCCCACTCAGGGCCCAAGGCACGACCTCTGACCCCCAGGGCTGCCTCCTCAGTCAGGTCTTACCTTGGACTGTACCTCCCCCACCTTCCAGAGCTGGGCGGCCTGATTGTAAGTAGCTGCTAATACCTGTGAGCCCTGGAAAGATGGAAGGGGAAGGCGAAGGCCCTTAACCTGGACCTGGACAGAAGCAACATCCCTCAGGCCAGAGAGCTGGGGCAGGGGCTGCCTTAGAGCTTCCCAGATCATCCAGGCAGAGAGAGAAGCCTCCAGGCCCAGGGAATAGTTGTGCAGCTGCCAGAAGGACTGGTTCTAGGACACCCATGATGTTCCCTTATGTCCCAGAGCCCCCACCTGCCCAGTGTGGAGAGCGGATTGGGGAGCCCACACAACAGGCATCCCATGTCATTGAGGCTAAGTCCCCTCACCGAAGGGTCGAAGTCCACACTGGTGATGCTGCCACCAGCTCCTTCAAGGGTTTGGTCGGCCTCCAGACGACCTGGGGGTACCAGGAAAAGGACAGGTGAAATGAAATCACTAACCACATGAAGAGGAGGAACTGGGAAGATTAGTCTCTCCCAAGTTAGAGGAAAGAATTCTGGGGGCCTGGGCTGGAGACTGCGCCTTCCCAAACTGCCATTGGGGGCTCTGGGGGTAGCTGATCACCTCACAGAGTTGCAGAGGACCAGAGAGAAGGGACTGTCCCCAGGTCACACAGCAAGCCAGGGCCAGACCTTTCTCTAGAAAGCCTCCAGGAAATGACTGTGACTCCCCACCACACCCGCCTCTACAAGCACAGGGTAGACCGTTGACACTCATCTCCTGAGTTCTGAGAGCTCAAGTGATACCAGAAGAGGAAGTCACCTGCTGGACCCCAGGGACCTGCTTCTCAAGGGCCTATCCCTGCAGAATCTAATGAAAGGGGACCCCCACTTCCCCTAACAGGGACCATCTGAGCTGGGTCCTCCCCATCCCGCAGACCTGGATCCCAGCAGCTGGGAGGCTCAGCCCAGAACTCTTGCCAAGGGGTCATCTGGCCACTGCCCACAGAAATGTTATATGTGAGGAAACACAAACAGATCTAAGACTTTCGACCACCAAGCAGGAAGCTGAGGGTGGGCTCTGGAGAGAAAGCACGAGTTGGCCCATAGAGGAGAAACCCTCACCTCCCACAACATTCCAGAGCTGGATGAGGCGGTCAGCCCCTCCGGTGGCCAGGAGGCTGCTGCTGGGACCAAAACAAACAGCATTGACCTCGGAGAGGTGGGCATCCTATGGGGAAAAGGGAGGCTGGTGCCTCTGGTCCCCACCACACGCACCTCTCTGCACACACTCACAGACTCTCTCTCACACACACCCCTGAGGCTTCCCCATAGTTCCCTGCCTGGCCTCCTGACCCCCCTCTCCAGCCCATCCCCGGTTACTAAATGCTGAGAGGGTTCTGCCACTGGCTGGGAAAGGAAACGTGTGATCTAGCTGAGGAGCCCAGCCTTGTCTCCCTGGCCTCGGTGGAGCACCCCTGGGGCCTACACTCCCCACACAGGCACCTCGGGCATGTGGTGCAGCCCCTCCCTTACCAGCACATCCTGCACTTGGGTAGGAGGCCGGGCAGCCACACACACAGGGATGCTCTGGTATCGCTGCTCAGGAGCTCCCCCAACCGAGTGGCCTCTCCTCTTCTTGAAACTGGGTGGGGGGGCAGGTGTGAGGAAGGCATCCAGCAAGGCCTTCTGACATGGGAGTCTCACACTCCCGAGGTAGCAACAATGGAAAGCAGACAAGACAGGTGGCAGAACATGGCCCAGGGGGGCAGCGAACTTGCTCCCAGCCCAGCCTCTGACCCCAGGGGTCCCGGTGAAGACGGGAAGGGCACAGAGGCAAGGAGGAGTTGGTGGATGTGGGGCAACCCTTGGGCTGGGGTTTCAGTCCGAGCCTTGCTGCCACTTGGTTCTGGGACCCTGAGCAAGTCCTGATGCATCCAGCCTATTTTCCAACTGAGTGGTAGTTCCTATCCAGGCTCGGGCTGGAGACCCTGGTTCCCCGGGAGGACCATGGCTGAGGGACAGATTATGGAGGACAGCCAGGAAGGGCCTGGAAATGAGGGAAATGAGGTCTGGGAGAGGCAGCAGAGATTTACACAGACAGCTGGGCAACACATGCACGGACAGATCGGGATACACACAGACCAAGCCAAGACTCCAGAAGCCTGCCACGGGCCTCCGAGGGGCCCACACCCTTCACACACCTGTGGGTGCACACATACACTTACTCCAGAAGCTCCTTCACCACATCCACACAGCGGGAGAGTGTCAGGGAGGTGGCAGAGGCAGATCTGGGGTGGAGTTAAGAGAGACTTGCTAAGGGACTGGCCAGGGAGTGTGCGGGGGAAGCAGCCATTCATCCCTACACCCTGCTGGGGACCCTGAGGCTCATAGGCCATTGAGCCTGGGACAAGAACTCAGCTCCTCCATGAGCAGGAGAGCGGGATGACCCACCAGCAGTTCCAGGAAGGTAGAGGCAAGGAGGGATTTGGCAAAAAAGTCTCCTGAAGTTTCCACCATGATGGTAAGAACTGCCCCCTGACAAAAGTTCTGGGGAGGCTGAGCTGGGGCATATGGGGGAAAGGGTGAGATGCCCTCAAGCTGGGATAGCACAAGGCTGAAGGATGGAGGGAGGTAAAACCTAGGCCCACTGAGTGACCTCAAAAATGTCCAGAAGATGTGTCCTGGGATGACTTGGCCCACCAGGGCTGCCAGGACTTTGGGGACCAGAATTCCATGCCCTCCCCAGAGTTCTTTCACTGCCCCCAGGCCCAGACACCAGTGACCTGCAAGGAAGGGCTGAAAGAGAAGGCTTCAAGTTGGTGAATGGAGCGAGGGTGTGGGGAGGGCAGCTTCAATGACAGACAAATGGAGACGAATGGGGGAGACTGAGGGGAGGGGCCCTCAGGGATGGAAACCCCAATCCCTGGGCTTCAGAAGCCCATGAGAGCTCACATCTATACATGCTCACATGTTCACTTGCACTCTGATATGCTCCCCACATGTGTCCTCATGTCCCTGTGAGTTGCACACCTTTGCCGACACACATATGCCTGTGACAGCTGAGTCCTGGGCCTTGCCCACAGTTCCCTGCTGGTGACACCCATTCACCAGAGTGACGCCCCACCCCCAGAGCTCTGGTCCTGAGAAGGAGAGAAAGAGGCGTTGGGGTCCCTAAGGTGGCAATGACCCCAAGCTCCAGGCACTGGAGATCAGACCGGTCCTGGGAGGTCTGAGCTGTACTACAGCTTCTCCCCAAACTCCTCTCGGCCCAAGAGCTCAGCCCAAGGCCCTGGAGGAAGACTCCAGAGTGGGGCCCAGCTCAGAGCCCTGGGACAGTCCTCACCTGAAGGGTCTCTTCCACTTGTCACCAGCCTCACTCTTCAGGGATAGGGGCTCAGCAGTCGGGGCCAGAGACTCAGCCTCCTCTCTCATCCCCTGGCTTACAGTGTTTGGGCTCCTGGGAGAGGGAGTGAAACTAAGGAAGGTCAAGGGACCAGCACCCGCTGCCTCCAGCGCACAACACGGCGAAGAGGGGTCGGTGTGGGCGCACGTGCGATGGGCAGGCATGCTGTTTCCTACGGCCAGAAGACACGAGTCCGCACATGTCCTGTGGATTCAGTCTACGTGGGGGCCTCGTGCGGACCAGGTTGTGGGTGGGGCAGAATTGCAGGCAAAGCCATGAGAAAAGGGGTCCTTTAAAGCAGCGGGTGGGCGAGCAGGACCCGGCGCATCCCCACTCTTACTCGCTGATGCTGACTGTCCGCTTGGCAGCCTTTTTCAGCTCCAAGGACACGCGCGCCTGCTTGGCCCTGGAGGAGAGAAGCATCCAGAGAGCCCAACCCCGGCCCGACGCGACTCGGCAAGCAGAGGTGCCGCGCGGACGGTGCTCACCCCCCACAGGGGCGCGCCTCCGAGGGGCGGGGCCAAGCGCGCTCACTTCTCGTGGCGCTCCAGGCGCAGGTTGCGCTCCGCGGCGGCGCGCGCCTTGCGCTGCACGAGCCGCTCGAGCAGGTCCCGCGCCTCCTCCTCCAGCCTGCGCAGGGCCGCCTCCTGGAGCCTGGCGTGCGCGCACAGCGCCTCGTAAGCTGCCCGCTGCGCTGCGTTCAGTTCCCGCTGTGCGTCCACTTGCCGCGCGTGCCGCGACCGCGCCTCCTGCAGCTCCACCACGTGCGCCTCCAGAGCCGCCAGCCTGCAGGAGGGGGGACCCTGCGTCACCGCGTGGTGGCGCCCGTCTCAGAGATGGGACACACTGTCCCTCCCATGCGGCCAGGCAGGTGACTAAGCCAAGCCTCCAACCAACTACGTGGGGAAAGTTCTCCGGCCGTGCTGCAGACACTCAGGAGCACCCCGTCCCCTCTTCCCCGGCAGAGATGGCCCCGAGCCACCCAGAGATGGGCACGATGCCCCCTCGCGCTGGTTCGCGCCTACCTGCTTTGCCGCTCCTCCAGGGTCGACTCCAGGGCGCCCAGGGCAGCGCTCTTCTCCACCACCTGGTAGGCCATCTAGGAGCGGTCGGGGGCGGGAGGGGGGCGGGAGGTGGGCGGGAGCGCCTCGATGGGGCTCCCACCGCGCCTTCCCGGCCGGACACCAGTGGAACAGTCTGCTACTCCAGCCACCCGCCATCTTACTGAACTGGAAGCAGAGGACACTAGCACAGAGAGGTTATGTGTCTTGACAAAGTTACACAGCCAAGTGGCAGGCCACCTAACATGATGCTCCAAGTACAGGACAGGTCCACAGGAAAGGTTCAAGGGATGTGGGCTCTGTTCCCCAAACTCTAACCCTGGCCTACCCAAGCATAGATTCTAGAGAGCAACAGGAGCCCTAAGCAGAGACACAGGGCAATAACAAGAATGGGCTGTGGGAGCATGGAGACCAGACTGAATACTGGAGCTGCCCCCAGCCCGAGAGTGGGGGTGAAGGTCAGCTCATCTATGCCCCTGCCTCATTCAGCCATCCTTCAACCAACAGCTGGGAAAGCCATAGATAGGAAAGTCGAGTCCCACTTTTTAGAGCTGAGGGGTCAGTGGAAGAGACAGACTTCAGGCGAAGAAGTTCCTACCAGTGTGACAAGAGGAACAGGAGGAAATAACCAAGGCTGGGGCTCTGGTTGCTAACTTGTTCCTGTGTTCTTCTCACGTGGGCCTGGTGAGGGACGGATTGAGGAGCAAGGCCAGGGCTGCTCCCCTACACTGACGCACCTCCCTGTGTGAGTGCTCCCGCACCTGCCTACCTTCCTAGCTGGCCCAATCCATAACGTTTGTAATTCCTTTCACCACGGAGCAATCTGACCTCCACTTCTGCTTCCTGGCCTGTCATTTCCTTTCATTGCTATTTTGGTAGTATTTGGGGGGAGTATTTTGGGGGAGGTTTTTCAAAATCCAAATAATAGAGATGGAAAACAGATGAGTGGTTGGTTGTAAGGTTAGGGATGGTTGGGGGAGAGGGGTGAGCTGCGGCCAGAAAGGGTAGCAGAGGGAGATCTTTGTGGTGATGAAATTGTGCTGTATATTGCTGGTCACACACATCTACATAGGGGACACCATGACAAAGAAATACATGTACATCTCATACCAATATCAGTTTCCTGATTGTGTGTACTATAGTTACATAAGAAGCAGCCAATCTTTGCAACTTCCTATGAGCTATAACTATTCCCCCCAAGTAAGTTAATGATAATGATATATGCTTGTTGCAATATCTGAAACAGTACTAAAAATTAAAGAAAAAGCCACTCCCCATTCCCTGCACATCCAATGGGAACTGACTGGGAGCCATTGGGGCAGGGAGGAAGTGCTAAGGGGGTTTGTTGAGGTGTCCCAGACAAAGGGGACTATGAGTTCAGAGACAGGGAGAGTGGCAGGAGGCTGGAGAACTCCACTGGGAAGGCTAAAGGGCTCTGGAAGTTATATACGAAGCTGACAATGGGAGAGACAGTGAAGGGGGTTCCACTTCTTTACTCGATGGGCTTCTGTTCTCTTGAAATGTTCACAACCTTGTATGGCTGTATTGTCTTTTTTTAGGGTGATCTTTTTGTTAATAAAATATATCACTCTGGGGGCGCCTGCCTGGCCCTAGTCAGTAGAGCATGGGACGCTAAATCTCAGGGTTGTGAGTTCAAGCCCCACACTGGGCATGGAGGCTACTTAAAAAATATGCGTGTGTGCGTGTGTGTGTGTGTGTATGTGTGTATACATACGTACATACATACACGTATCTCTCTCTTTCTCGCTGTGAGTGCTGTATGGAGAATGGATGGGAGTGCCAAGGGAGGCATCATCCAGGAAGAGATGAGGGTAACTTGGGCCATGCCAACAGAGTTGATGGGTTTGGAGGCAGGATCCATGATCTGATGACTACTAGCTCAGGATGAAGGGCCAGGATGGACCAGAGATGCTCCCTCAGTTTCTGACCAGTGACTACCAGTTGGGGTGGAGGGTCTACCTCGTCCATCATTTAGTCTACAAATATTCACTAGCATGGACTGTGGAGACAAACCCCAGAGTTAAGTGGAAGCAAACCAAAGGCATCCCAGGCCTTGAGGATCACACAGCCCAGAAAGTGCCTCAAATGTCAGGCTGCAACTACAGCGGGGGCTCTGAGGGAGAGGCTCTCACTGGGTTCGAGCCCCACTCCCACAGTTGTTGGGCAAGTAACGTAGCATGCTGTCACCAGACACAAGTTTATGGCCTATCAGTATCCTCCACTAGACTGGAAGCTCCCTGGGGCCGGGTCTTGTTCTTATCCTGTGCCTTGGACAACTGCCAATAAATCTTTGTTGAAAGAATGAATGGAGATCACTGAAGGCGGGTTCGTGTGGGAGGGAGTACAAACCCTGGCTCCACTTCTCTAAGCCTCCAATTCCTGCTCTAGAGTTGCAGAGGATTAGCTGAAACAGGCTTAGCCCAGCACCTACAGGCGTCCCCTCTCCATGTGCGGCTGGCCACGTATTGTGGGGGAGATGGTGAATCTTACTTTTTGCTGACCAAAGAGTATGGTGCTCAGGAGAGAAGGCTGGGCCAGAAACAGGTCTTGGAGGCAGCAGTCTTTGAGGTGACAGGAGTCTGTGAAGCCACCCAAGCTCTAGGGAACACCCGCATTGAAAGGGCGAAAGGAACCAGAGAAGGAAGTGCAGAAGCAGCCGCTACAGAAAAGAGAAGAAAACCAGGACAATGTGGCAAAACCGAAGCCAAGACACCCCACAGGGTGGGGGCAGCGGTGTTAGGTGAAAGCAGCACCCCCTGCCGTGGTGGGGGGCCACCCTGCTCATCTAGTCTGCCCATATGCACGGTGCATCAGCCGGAGCCAGGCCCCGGGGTTGGGGGAGCAGGATGCAAACGGAGCAGCCGGGACCATCTGGAAGGGAGAACAGACATCATCTGGCCTTGTGCACCTCCTACTCTTCTCTGAGCTCTCACCTCACATCCTCCAGAGTCCTGGATTCTGGCCTCAGGCCATTCTCTCTCAGACCTCTGCCCAGCCTACCTCACCACAGACCCGCCGGAGCCCCTCCTCCTCCTCTTGCCACTTCACCCTCAGAGTGGTTGGTGATGGGACTTCATCTGAGTCAGGCCCCGAGTCCTCCTCCCTGCCAACCAATAAGAGAATGGTGTTCATTGTCCCTCCGTTCACCCACAGGATGAACGTGAAAAGCCTGAAACCAAAACCATGAACTTTCTCCTAAGGAAGGTGGAAGCCAGAAAGCCAGTAGAGGAAAGAGCAAGTCTCCCGAAACTGGAACTGCCCATGACTCCCTTGCTCTGGGATTTCCCCAGGCCTTGGGTTCCCTAGCTAGGACCCTCTTTCAGAAGCCCTTCCCAGGGGCACCTGGGTGGCTCAGTCAGTTGAGAGTCTGCCTTCGGCTCAGGCATGATCCCAGGGTCCTGGGACCCAGCCCCACATCACACCGCCTGCTGCTGCTCCACGGAACCCAGGTTCTCCCTCTCCCTTTGTGCGTGTCACTCCCCCTGCTTGTGTGTGCGTGCACGCGAGTGAGGTCTCTCTGCCAAACTGATTAATCTTTATTTTAAAAAAAGAAAAGAAGAAGAGGCACCTCCCAGCTGTGAGGCCTAACCCACTCCTGGTTCTCATCTTCACTACCCCTTTGGAGTATATAGCAAGACCTTTCCTTTAGGCATCAAGTAAGGATCAGGGAGACAAAGAGGAGGGGAAAAGGGAGGAGTGTGGGGTGGGAAGGGAAGAGATGAGACAAATACAGAGATGGGCTGAGAAATGTGGTGGAGAAAGGACCGTCTAAGCAGCTGGTGTGGAGGAAGGCTCAAAAGCCCACCTCCTCCCTCCCCTGGGTAGCACCTACGGAACAGTGAGATGCCCCGGAGAAAATGAACCCAGCATAGTGGGGGCAGGGCCCAGGCATAGGCAGCCCTTTGTACCCAGGAACGCTCACACTCACCAGGGGCCCTGCAGGGCAGTGGGAGTGACATCATTTGGCTCTGGCTGCAGCTTCTCTGAGATCCAGGTCAGCAACTCAGCCTTCTCTAGGAGACGGTTATCTAGGGGTACAAGAGGGTAAGCCTGGGGCAGAGAAAAACAATTTCCAGCAGACTCCAGGCCTACCTCTCTGGCTGGGAGGGCTGTAGGAAGAGCCCAGGGATGCAGAATGGCATGGCTGCTGGCAGGCTGGACTCTGGCCTCTGCCTAAAGGTGTTTGTAGGCTCTCCCAAGACCTGCAGCCCTGGCACAGCCTCCTCCCAGTACCTGCCCACAGGTCCTCCCAGGGGAAGATAGAGAAAGACAACCACTGCAGGGGAAGGAGATGGCTGGCCTCACCGACCCCTGTGGATCCTGAGGGAAGGAAGGGGCCAGAAATTGATTCAATCTTGCCCCACAGCAAGTCTTTGCCCCAAAGAGTGATGAAATAAACCCAGCTCCACCTGCCTCTGGCCTTTGGCAAATTACTTCCCCTCCAGGGGCTCTAACTTTCTACTCTGAAAAACAATCCTGTCTTCCCCAGGGTTGGGGTAAGGTTCCCCCAGGCCAGAAGAGAAAGTCCTTGAGCAACTGTCCAGCAGACCTCCTTGAATTTGGTAGTTTTTACTACAGACCCTGGAATATCTCTGTCCACACCCACCCCACCCACTTCCTCTTTTCTCACCAGTTCCGGGGGTGGGGGCAGTGTGTGGTAAGCCCAGGCCTAGCTCCTCAGCTCCTTTCCTTCACCCAGTGTCCTGCCTGTCACCTCAGCTGGGGTCACTGGCCTAGTTCTCACACAAAACCCCACCCCAGCCCCCAGGGCACTACTGCCCCCTCCCCCAGCAAATCTAAAGAAGATGCCATTTTGCCCAATTTATGGGTGAAAAATCTGAAGCTTACAACCCACCCTAGACCACACAGAAAACTGGAACTTCATTATGTCTGATCTCAGCCCTCTGGGTCTCTCCAGTCTCACGGGCTGCAGTTCTTGGGAAATAGGGGTAACTTCTCCCTCAAACTGGATGGTTCCATTGTCCATCAGAGCAGTGGATAAGTGAGGCTGCGTGGAGGCAGGAGGCTGGCCTCACATCCCTGAGGGAGAGGTCCAGCAGCCTAGAGGGTTGCAGGGAAATGGCCCAGAACAAGAGCTGCAAATTCAGTTTAGGGGATAAGGGGGGAGATAGTTAAGCAGCAGCCAAAATTAGGACCAGTGTTGGAGCTGGTGGGATAGTGGCTGTAATCCCCCCAACCATGACCCCGGACATACAACCTCGAGTGACCAGAGGCACGTATACAGATCCACCTGTTCGCCCTGGCTTGAACTGCCGTACCCACTCCTGACCAGCCCCCCCACCCCGCCCCACCCCACAGAAACACCTAAGACTTCTTGGTCTCAGCCAGCAGCCTGGAGCCCCCTGTTTCTCCCTCAGGCTGGGGTTGCCCAAGCACAGAGATGCTCCAAAAACCTGAGCCAGGATCACTCACCAGTGGCAAAGCCTGAGACTCTGAGCTTTCTCCCTAGAGATTCAGAGTTTAGAAGTAGCTGCTCTCGGAGTTCTTTCACTGGGTGACAGGGACCAAGTGGATCCACTAGGTTGTACCTTGGGAACTGCCCCGGGATGGGGGAGCATAAGAGACCCTTAAAAAAAACAACACTAGCTAACAAACCCGTGCCCGGGAAACCCAGTCCGGGAGAGGCGGGCCCTGAGGGGCTAGGAGGGCAGGAGAACCGGGAGGAGCTCGGTCCTGGAAGGCGCTCTAAGCAGTCCGGACTGGAAAGGGGAGGAACGCAGGCTAGTCAGAGGTGGGGCGTAACAGACAGAGCGACCTCCAGGCCCACGGATCCCGAGGCGAGAAGGCTGTTCTGCACGCGGCTCTCAGCCCGAGGAGCGGGACAACCCCCTGTCCCCGCGCCCGGATCCCCGTTCCCTCCACTGCCGTCTTGCACGGCCCCCGCGGCGCACTCACAGGCCGGCATCAGCTCCAGGAAGAGGGCCTTCTGCGCGCGGTCCCGCTGCCGAAGCTGCCGCACTATGTGGCGTTTCCAGCGGGCGGCCGGCACGCCGAGGGGCCCGGACCCCGCCATAGCCGCTGTCCCGCCCGCACGGCGCGCCGCCCCCGGGGAAGGAGGCGCGACCGGGGCGGGGCCTCTGGGGGACTCCGTGACGTCGGCGGGCGGCCGCGACGGGGACTCCCCAGATCGCGCTAAGAGCGTCCGCCGGGGTTGGGGGTGTAAGGAAAGCCGCGCAGATGTGCTGGGAAGCCGCCCCAGGGCCGCTCCAGAAGTTCTCACCTACGTCCGCCGCCGTGACCCCGGGCGGAGGTCGCGGCCTCCGGGGCGGCTTCCCCCACGCCTGTGCGCGAGCTCTCCGCCGGCCGCCAGGTCCCGGTCCTTAACCCCTCGGCGCCGAGACCGCGTCCGGAAGTGACCGACGTCGCCGACGGACCCTCCGGCCCGGGCGCGCCCTGAGCTAGGGACCTAGAGACCCCTCACACGCGGACCCTGCCCTGGAGGCGTTCCGGATCCGCGAGGAGAGGCGACGCAGACGCTAGGCCTGCACAGCGTGACGGCGAGCTGAAGCGCCGAGGAGGAAAGGGCTGAGGCGAAGAGGCGCCGCTTTCGGACGTGACGGCGTTTGAGTTGCAACGGGAGGGCTGCCATAGGTCAGTGCTGGCCGGGAGGAGAGAGGAAAGGATTCCAGGCGGCGGGAAGAGCAAGTGCAGAGGTCTGATGGTATAAAAACTCCCAGGCGACAGAAACTCGTGGAAGGGCAGGAAGCAGAAGAGCTCCTGTGCAGAGCACGGTTTAGGCGCTCAGTTCTTCGCAGAAAATAGAGGTCCCTGAGAGTGAAGGGCTGCAGCTGATTCCACCTGGCAATCCCTGGCCCAGAAGGGAGAAGCAGCTGGCCTGAGGTTGCACAGGAGCGGGTGGCTAACCTGGCCGGCAGCCCGGTGTCCCGTCTCCGGGCTCAAGCGTTCGCTCTCGTGGGGCGGCCTCTGGGGGAGTAGCAGCACCTCCTGCAGGTACACTTGACGGTGAACCATGGGTTGCAGGGAACTGCGATAAAACCGTGTCAAGGAAGACCCCTGTCCAGAGCTGTGCGGACGCGCTGGGTGTGAAGACTGAAAGGAGGGATTCACCAGACCCAGCCTCACCCTGCTCTCGGCGAGTGACTGCAGACCTGTCTATCGCGCGGAAACGGAGAGAAATCGGGATTTAGGGGAGCCGCACAGGCCCTGGAGGTGACGGGTCTTTTGAGATATTGCATGGTGGGATGGGTGGCAGGAGTTGGAAGGCAGTAAATGCCAGTGACACACCAAGATAATTACCCCCGCTATGCTTTGAAACCACCATGAACTGAGCTCAGTCCCCGACATTTCCCTTGTACAAGCTCCTTTGGAACACCTTCTCCTCTAGTCCTCCCGACTCCTACTCATGGGCCACCTCCTCTGGGAAAACTTTCCTGCCCCTTCACTGAGTGAAGGCCTTTCTGACCTGAGCCACATTCCAAGCCTAGTCTGTCTGTTGAAGGAGTGAGTGTAGGTAGTAACAGTTTCCAGAAGGCATGCGCAGGAGACTCCGTGACTGTGGAGACCCAGAGCCCGTTGGTGACAGTGAAGAATTCCTTTTAGGACTGACTCTCAGGTGCCTGGAGACACCGTCATGAGTCTGTGTGCATTGAAGAATATGTTATCAGGGCTCTGCTTGGCAGTGAGAAGCAGAGGTGGTATTTCTCTCAAATGAGGAGTTGTTTTGGGGTGAGGGGTTCCTAACCCTCTTTTGACTCACAAAATACTCCTAGGAAATTTGAAATCATTTGTCATTTTTCAATAATATGATAAAGAAGTGATTGATTTTGACTAAAAACATTTATCTTCTATCTTTAGAATATAAGAGATTGTTATAAAGTTCAGTTAAAATCTTAGATAACATGTGTATGACAACACATTCCTATTTTTCACATTTAACATGCTGTTTCATTCATCATTATGGAAGAAAAACATGATTTGATGACAATATATGTAAAAAGTGACTAAATCATAATTTGGAGACCTAATGTGGTTTAGAATATGTAGTTCGCTCTTGAACAATGTGGGTTTGAACTGCGCAGATCCACTTCTCTATGGATTTTTTTCAATAAATACAGTACTGTATGATGAGAAAAAAAGAAATGCCAGGCTTTGTGGTGATTTGGCTACTGAGACCTGGGAGTCTCCAGGCAGAATTCCTGAGACACAGATTGTAACAATCCTACAGCTCCCTTCAAGGACTTTCTTTAATGTTTTGCCACAGCAGCTTGGCTCTTGTCAGTGTTACTTCCCTCTGACAGCCATAAACACCCCCCAAAGATACATGTTAGCAATTACCTTCCAAGCATATGGCCCACTAGTATACAACTGAAGGGTGTCAAGACTAATGTTTGCTAGACGGGGGTAACTAACCGTATCTTAGCAACAGCTAGCCACCCAAGCCCCTGGAAGGCCTTGCTTCCAAATTCCTTACACTTTTGCTCCACTAACTAAAAAGTGTTTAATCAGTCACTCCCCACAAACACAAGTGCAGCTCTTTCTGCCCACAGGTCCTATTCCTATGCTATCATAAAAGCACCTTTTTACACCAAAAACACCTCAAAAGTTCTTGACCATCTGCTCATGGCCCCACATCACTGTAAATATATTTTCTTTTCCTCATGATTTTCTTAATAACATGTTCTTTTCTCTTACTCTATTATTATAATACAGTATTAATACATATAATATACAAAATATGTGTTAATCAACTGTTCGTGTTATTGGTCAACAGTATACTATTAATTATTAAGTTTTAGGAGAGTGAAAAATTATATGTGGCTTTTTTGCTGTGCAGGGGTCGGTGCACTTAACCCCCATGTTGTTCAGGGGTCAACTGTGGTTTATAACTTACACCTGGATTAGGGATCTCCCAGCAGCCAGAGTGATTGTTTAAAAACCTAAATCAGCTCATGGCACTCTTCTTTAAAACCCTCTAAAAGATTTTCCAGCATATTCCATCCAGCATATTCAAAACAAATCTCAGATCCTTTGTCATGGCCTACAAGGTCCCACTCACATCTCTGACCTTATCTCTTTCTATCCTGTGAACAAAGCCTTATTCACAACACTGAATAACTGCCTCACTCATTCCACGTTGGCACCTCTGCCTGGGATATTCTCTATTCCTGGTGGGTGCTCTTCCTTCAGATCTTTTAAGAGCTGACACAGCCCCTTTTTTTCCCTGTTCATCCACTCTAAAATAGGCTTTATTCCAATCAATGTCTACAACATCATCTAATTGTTCTTCCTTTCAGAGCGCTTATCACTCCCAGAGAGGATCATTTTTCTGTGCTTTTTCAGCTGTTTTTGATCTGTCTTTCCAGCCTGTCTGGAAGATTCAGGAGAGCCAGGACCAAGTCCGCTTTGATCCCGGCACAGTCTTCAGCCCTAGAACAGGACCTGGCACCAACTGAGAAGGCGATCCATAAATACTTATTGCTGTTGCTGTGGCATCAAAACTATACAAAACTAATTTTAATGGCCCAATGCTTAGAAGTTGTGAATTCAAAATTGTGGCTATATCGGGTGCCTGATGGCTCAGTCAGTTAAGCGTCTGACTCTTGATCTCAGCTCCAATCTTGAGCTCAGATTAGTGGGTTCAAACCCTGTATTGGGCTTCATGCTGGGCATGGAGCCCACTTAAAAAAATAATAGTAGGGAATATCTGGGTGGCTCAGTTGGTGAAGCATCTGCCTTCGACTCAGGTCATGATCCCTGGGTCCTGGGATTGAGTTCTGCATCAAGCTCCTTGCTCTTCAGGGAGCCTGCTTCTCCCTCTGTCACTCCCCTGCTTGTGTTCTCTCTCTCTCTCTCTGACAAATAAATAAGTAAAATCTTTATAAAACAATAATTAATTAATTGAAAATTAAAAACCAAAATGGTAGCTATATCTAATTGAAAAATAAATCACATGC